GGTAAAATCATCATTTGATTATTTACCGTGGATGAGTACCAACTTCTGATGTGTTTAGCAACATTAATGGAGGATCTTTTTAAATTTTTGGGTTTGGATTGTAGGTGAGTGGAGGCAAAATTAGAAAAATTGTGTTCATTCTCAAAGTTTTAAAGTCATGGCAATGATCCGTTCAGACCCTGGTCACATTTCAGATGTTGTTGATGTTAGAGGATGCTATTTTTGTGCGATACAGAGGCACACTGGTGATCATCTGCTCTGTCTGTTTCTTTGTGTGTGGCATCCCGTGTCTTTGCTTCATAACCGAATTCGATCACAACTTTAAATCTTATCTTAACCTGTGGGGATCAGTTACTGAGTAACCGTTTGTGTTGTGGTGACAGCAGCCGGTGCGTGGGTCGAATTATCAGCAGATACTTTTGGTTTTGGGGCTGTTGTCAGTGTTTTGTTGCTTTTGTTGAGATCACCATGATGAAGCGTCTGTATGTTCAGCCAGGTCCTCTTTAACCAGTAAGCATTTCCTTTTACTGCAGATGTCCTGGTATTTGTGTAGATCTGACTAAGCTATGACTCATTATTCCAGTCTGTGCAGCATCAGTCTGTATTTAGTCTTCGTGTGACTCGGTTCTTTTGCTGTGTTCCTTGTGTTTAGTGGTAATGTCTTAACATTTCTTTGCTGTTTGGTAGATTTCGCTGAAGTTTGAAGTTTTGCATAAAGATGCTCGATCTTATTCTCCTTTTGAAGGAGGTCAGAGTGGTGTCACATCTAGTTAGCTTTGGCCGGATGATCACTTTTGTGAAGGTTGAAGAAACTTTCCTGCTGTTTGGGCCTCTTGGTTGAAGTGGGGGGACGTCCGATTGGCCCATTGTGCATTGGCTTCTTTTTCTCATCTGACATTTTGATTGGTTTAGATTAAAAAAATTTCTGTTGTGTATTTTTGCATTAATGAGATTTGCAATCTGTTTCCCAGTTGTGACCTAACTCATTATTTATTTATTTCTGCAGCAAACTGAGTCGCGTTGTGTTTAAAAATGGTATAATAGAAACTAATTTATTTACAGATGGCCTAGATATTAGGACATGAAAGCTAGCTGATGCTTATCCGGGGGAGCGCAGTTGTGTGCCTGACATCCCTAATTACCCAGCAAAACTGATCCATAATGGATGATGATGGATATCCACTCCCCACTGTCTCCATGTGACCTAGTCTCCGCAGGAGAGTTAACAAGTTCACATGACCCCTGACCCCCGCCTCCCTCTTTGAGCTGGTCTGGAGGGGGGGGGGATGAGGCAGTGGAGCCAAACACGATCAGGCATCTTCACCCGCATTTCGGCGCAAAATGCCTCCCAACATAGCTGCATGAAAACCTCACATGAACCAGTTCTGACATGACCTTTTCTCTAATAAAATAAATAAATTCTCTACTGGCTGATGGACTTCATGTGCAGTGTGAGATGGGCCTTGCAATGTAAAGTGTAGCGTGAACCAAAATCAGCCTCTAAATTAATATTTATTTGAAGAAATTAGATATTTCAAATTACTTTTGCATTCTTTTTTATAAAGCATTGCATCATCAGAGCAGAGAAAGTTGCCTTCTGTAGACTCATTTCAACTATTTTGACTATTGCTTTGGCAAGACGGATCAAAATGTGTGAATATGAACGAGGATCTATACACTATGTAATGAATTGATTTTTTACCAAATAAACACCAAACACAGCCTGTAATCACTGGAGAAATGACTGAGACCGGCTTATGCTTCATTGTTCCATTTTATATGGACATGATCAATAGATTTTGACATGATATATAGAATATGTGTGCATTCAGAGACCATTACTAAAGAACTGTTGTTTTTTCTCTCGGTCATTTTCAGGGTTCTACAAAATCCTCGAAGAGCATGGAGTCAAGGCGGAGACCATCCAGGTACCCATTCCTTTTATGTTTCCTCTCCTTTCCTCTGTTCCAAGAAGCTGTTAGCTTCCCCTCCCCAGATTTTCATTTTCTTATCCTCTCTTCCTCCGTGTCTCCCCCTCTGACGCTTTTTCCCAAATAAGAGGCAGCGTGAGACATTTTGGACCCAACGTGTTGGATTTGTTTAAGAATAAGTCTCCCATGTTATCTCCAAATCAGATGGATAGGAAAAAAAAAGAGAAACAAATATTAATGCGAAGTTGAAGCAGCTCTATCCAGCCCGCGCTGCCTTCTTTGTAAATGAAAAGTTTATATGTAACCTGATATTTGCTGATTTTACCGAGGGGATACATGAGGCAGAATGTCCCTCTGTTGAACTGGACCTCTCGCTGTTTTGTTGGACAAAAAGATATTTGGGGCCGACCCTTTTCACCCCGATCCCTAATGACTCGCAGATGTTGTCAGTTGTGTAATTAAAACTCGACACAATAACAGGTTGTGCGTTAAGCTGGACCGATGGTTTGAGTTTCATTAGGTCCAATGCTCCACTGCAGCGTTAAAACAAAGTGGCGTCAGGTTTATAACGCCCGGAATACTTGCACTCGCAAAGACCTTTTGTTTTGAAATGACTTTTGCAAACCCGCCTTTAGATTTGTGGCTTGCGGCAGCCTTCAGAAAACGTTTGTGACAATGTAGCCGATGGTTAGATATTTTCTCTTTCGCGACACTTGTGACAGTGTGTGCAAAAGTAAGAGGCCATCATTGATAAAGTATTCATTTCATTTCATTCATTTCTTTCTCCTGAGCTGTCTAAACTATTCAAAAAGTTACTTTTGGGTAAAATCACTGCCTCTGAAACGCGTGGGCTTGAATGCAACATGTTGCCCGTAAGAAGCCTGGATGCTTCTTCATCCATTTCTTCCAAACTAAGCTCTTTCATTTTGATTGCGCTCACTATATTACACGTTTCCACTGTGTGATAGTCCATCCCAGATACCTGAGAGCCCAGAACAGTCCATGAACAAGGTTCTGGACAAGCCTAGCTACCATAAAGCTTCTTTAATAAATAGAAAGGTTTAATCTGAATGTTTTAAATGCATTGTAATGTTCCCAACAGTAAACACCTGCATATATAATCAGATGTTGATGAATATAAGCTCTTGACGTGTTGTCTAACGAATCAGAGATCACATGTTTCTAGGTCCTTACTATCTAATTTAGTCCTTTGTGAAAGCCTACTGTGTCACTGCAGAGCTTATGTGTTTGTTATCCTTAAAATAGTTCACAATGAGTTCTTATCTAATTGTGACCCGTTCAAAGAAAAAAATGTTAAGCATTTGTCAGAATCTAGATTTTCGCACATTTGCATCTCTCAGTCGAAATTTGATTTATTGATGAACTGTATAAACAAACACTTAAATCAAATCCATCAAAGGTTCAACCTTAATCTTGTGGATTCCCTCCACAGGTCGTTGATATAACTCAATGGCTAAAAAACTCTGACAGACTCGGTGAAGACAGACCCCTACTTTTAAGTCTTTTTTAAGCAGAGAAGAGTGAAGTTCCTGACGTTGACTGATTTTTTTTTTTTTTGTCTGGCAAGGTTGCTCCGTGGCTTAGTGTCTCGAGTTTGCTGATAAAACGCTCCTTGTTCACAGTTTGTCTTCGTCCAGATCAGATCGCTGCAGCTGTGAAATTGAGCGTGTGGAGATAACGCGTCATTCGTCAAACGCTCCAAAAGAGAGCAATCGCTCAATCTTTCCAGCTGACGAGAGGCCTTTTGAAACTAGGCCGACCGAAAGCGTGATTATGGTGCATCTAGAGCGGGACCAAACCGCTTTCTTTAAGACTCGGGCTGCACATTGCAGTGGAGAAACCTTAAGGGGGACGTCACCGTGAGAAAGAGTGAAGCAAAAGCTACATTAAAACACAACATTCTTCTGAAAACCTTCCCGATAAGACGTCTCTGTCGGCACGCCAGAGACATGTGCGACATATTAATTTCTCCTCTTTTGCGAATAATTTCCAGTAAGCACATTTTGAGTGGCTCCAGATGTACAGGTTACAGTAACGGTACAGTAAAGCTGGAGTGATCCCCTCTCCCAGACATGTGAGCAGATCCCTCGGGGACAACTCGCAGCTGACAAATGTGGGAAATATGCTGCAGTCTGGGTCCAGACACCCCCGGCTCGGCCTTTTTCATCTCGCTCTAAACAGTCGCCGGGTCCTCTGCCTGATTTCTTTACGGGCAAAAAAAATTGGAAGTCGGCCGCCGTCCGTAAAGGGATATCTCGGAGCAAAATGGAAAACTGGTTTAAACTTTTGACTGCAAGAGAAAGCTCTTAAAATATGTTTTCTCAGCTCCAACCCTTTACCTTAAAGTGTTTAATATCACTATCCAGTCCATTGAGTGGGAAAATATTAATACATTCTGTATTTATTTGATAGATGTTGAATGCTTCTCTTGGAGCAAATAGCCTGGAACCAAATAATATGAACATTTTCTTCACTCTTTTGGATCCAGTTCTTGTTCATTTCTACCTTTTGACCTAATTGGACTCAGACGAGCCAGACTAGAATATCAACTCGGCTTAACTTAAGCAAAATCCCTTTTCCTCATCAGCATTCATCACAAGATGTTGTTTTTTTGTGAGGTCCACGCATTCCTCTGGCATCTTAATCAAATGAATCACTTTCTGTTTGGTCTGTCGTCTCCATAAAGCCTTTATAGAGAGCTGACATTTTAGACATAAGCCTGTGCTCAACCGGGAAGGAGTGTGAATACAGATGTGATAATTGTATATGTTGTCATCTCCAGATGAGGATATTTGTTCCTTTTAGGTTTTGTGAAAGAATGTTAAGCAATTGAATTAGCCATCCCCGAGCACATTTATGAACAAATGTGTGAAGGAAGTGAGAAACCACATAGTTTTTAAGCTTTGATTTGGTGAGGAGTGACTCATGTTAGCGCAGACTAACCTGATAATCTGTTTTTATTAAGAAGAATTTCCCCCACTGGGGAAGAATGATGTATTTTTCAATTATGTTCTTGGGCTTTCCGTGTAAGAAATTACATACAAATTCATGGTAAAACGGATCAGGAGACGTAAATAGAACCGGTGTGTTCCGTTAAACGAGAACAAATCTGAGCAGCTGTCCGGTTGCATGTATCGGTTTGTTTGGTTGCGCAACTTTAGATAAGCGTTTGCCACTGGTTTGTGTTCAGGAGCCCCAGTCTGCTGCAGGCCCTGGAGGAGAACTACGAGCTGGACCTGATCTACATCACAGAGAGGATCATCTCCGTTTCGTTCCCCGGCAGCGTGGAGGAGCAGAGTTATTCTGCCAACCTGCGGGAGGTGGCCTCCATGCTGCGCTCCAAACACGGCCACAACTATCTGGTAAACCTAACACAACCTCCATCCTAATTAGCTTACCTCGAATAATCCAGTTATGCGAGTACCAGCTGCCAACTTTGCTCTGAAACATCTGTATCTGCATTTATCTGTAATACTCTTGTAGAAAACAAACAGCAAAAAAGCTGCATTCCACAGTAATAATTTACCTATTTAATGGAAATTCTTCTGATATATAGTGCTATAAACTAATTTTTCTTTATGAACTCAAACAGTGGAGGCCTTTACTTTAGTTTTCTGATATTCCAGAATATGAAAACAAATATAAATGGAGTTTAGGACAAAATCCCAACTGCATTGCTGAGACACAACCCTCAGTGAATACCAGGAATTATCCCTTTGTTAACCACAGTAATAATTGACCTATTTTATGGAAATACGTCTGCTATCTATTGCCATAAACTAATGATTCTTTATGAACTCAAACGGTGGAGGACTTTACTGTAGTTTTCTGATATTCCGGAATATGAAAACAAATATATATGGATTTTAGGTCATTATCCCGACTGCATTGATGAGAAACAACCTCAGTGAATACCAGGAATTATCCCTTTGTTAACCATGTTATGATATTGAATTATACATGTGGTAACATCATAAAAGCTCAGTTGTGGGAGCCATTATAAAACCAGCCCCAGTCCTGTTTTGGGTCAAAGTGTTGCCTGGCCCTTTATTTAATTCACCCTATCTACCCCTGCTAAGCATACATTGTTAAGTATAGATGAAACAACTGTTTAGAATAAGATATATAAAAGGGTTAAGCTCAAATTCTTTTTCAACCATGAATATAACAGTTTCTTTATGGAAAATCGAGCAAAATCAATCAAGTCAAAATCATGTAACTGCTGCAAAAATAAGAAATTGTTGTTACATTGCTACTACATTGCTGCTACATTGTTTGTCCTTACCTCTATTTTTCTAGCTCTTCAACCTAAGTGAGAAGCGTTTTGACATAAGCCAGCTCAATCCAAAGGTAAGCCTAAACATTTTTTATTCCTCCCTCTCCCATTTTAATCACACAAACGTTAGGACCACTAGTCCAGACAGCAACATCTCTCTCTCTCTCTCCCCCACTCTCTCTCTCTCAGGTGTTGGACTTTGGCTGGCCTGACCACCACGCCCCTGCCCTGGACAAAATCTGCAGCATCTGCAAGGCCATGGACACCTGGCTCAGCGCGGACACTCACAACGTGGTGGTGATACACAACAAGGTTAGACTCACACTCGGGGCGGTGCCGCGGGAGTGGAGCCCGTTTTCAGACAGCAGGTGGCGCTCTCAGGCCCCTCTGGGCTCTCCTCGGGGCCACCGGTCACTTTAAAAGCTGCAGCTGTGCTTATCCGATTGTTGTTGTTAAGATTGCTTTCCTCGGTAAAATAGCGGAATAAGGGGGGAGTGTTTGTGCTCATGATTGTGTCTTTTTAAGTGCTTCTTTGGGTTCGGTTCTGCCCAATGATGGTTAGGAAAACACAAATTAAGGCAAAAAGGCAAAGTAGTCATCATGACCGATTACGTTTATTTACCCTTTTACCCCTTAAACAGTGCCATAAAATCTGAGTTGACCAATATTTCTCTGTAGTTGCCATGAATTGCATCACATTAAACTCTTGTGGCAAGCCGCACTCATCTGGCTTTTCCGTGTGTTGACACAAACCATAAAATCTATATCCATTTACTACTACGCTGGTGTTCCTAAAAGTGTAACACCTAATCATTTTCATGTCAACCCCACTGTGTCCCCGATTGTGTTTTTGCAACACAAGAATTAACCACGCTGGCCATTAAAGTTCATACCTCATTCCATCCTAGTCCCACAGGGAGGTTGCAAACAAGTCGGCTGCCATAACAACGTTTTTTTTTCCTTTTTTTTTTCTGTAAGTTGAGTAACACGTCCGACACGGCTGTTTGAAAGTTGTGGTGGTCACTAAGGAAGTAGGCCCTGTTAGTTTTCCACACATCAACAAATGATTTTCCCCCGAGCCACAGTGTGAAAGCAACTGTGATTTTCATAAAGTGGCCGGCGCTCACCACAGTGTTTTCTAATAAACGTAGCACGACCCATTCAAATTTTATCTGTTGTGTTTATACAATCAAATTATGAAATAATTCATATCTTTAGATTTCGGATTTTATTCACGAAAGAAATCTAATTTTGCACCTACTGTTCTAGTCATTACAGTAGTTATAACGGATAAATGGACAGTAGCTATCTGACGTTTTAGGTCTTTTAAGTTTTAAACTTTTAGGTTTTAAACTTCTTGATATCATAATCCTCCATCTATTGTTTGTGTTTCTTCTCTTTGTCCCCCTTCTTAGCTCAATAGTAAAAAATAAAGGTAAATACAAAAAAAAAAGGATCTTCCAAAGTATTTTTTTTTCTTGATCCTGTTAGAATCTATCATAAGATTAGGAAGAGCAGAAATATGTCAGGATTTGGGAAAACAATCCAGCTTCCTTATCCACTTCCTTATCCAAACCATGTATCACATGTTCAGGGTTCAGTTTTGTCTTTTTTTTATTGATAAAGGAATTCTACACCGGGTGGCATGATGGTGTGGTGGTTAACACGGTCACCTCACAGCAAATGAGTTCCAGGTTCACATCCCCTGGGGGGGGGCAAAGGGCCTTTCTGTGTGGAGTTTGCATGTTTTTTCTGTGTCCGTGTGGGTTTCCTCCAGGTCCTCCGGCTTCCACCCACTTACCGAAAACATGCAGGTTGGGTTAATTGAACTTTTTAAATTGCCCCCTGTAGTGAGTGTGTGTGTGTGTGGTTGTTTGTCTCTTTGTGGCCTGGCGACCTGTCCCAAGTGTACCCCCCCCCCCCCCCCTTCGTTCAGTGTCAGCTGGGATAGGCTCCAGCTCCCCCCATGACCAGACTAGGAATAAGACCTATAGAAAAATGATGGGTTGATGTTTCTGTTATCATAATTGCATTTAATTTTCATCGGGACTTTATTTTTGGATTTTACTGTATTGTATTTCCTGTACTGGAGACTTAATATCAGGATGTCCTATTATGCACTGAACTTAACCTTTTGTTTTGTCTTAATCTTAAGTATCTTATGAACTTTGCAGTTTTACGAAAGGGCAGCATTAAGTGCCAGAGTAATCCGTTAACACACTTGGACTGTAATTCTGGGTTTCTAAAGTCTGTGGTGAGACCAGAGATTAGTTTATATATGGATTATGAATTTTCCTTTAAGCAAAACCTTAAAAAAATAAAATGAATAAAAAATACGGGGCTTAAGGGGTTATAGAAATTTCATAGAAATCATAACAAAGCAGTTCTTTGCATGACTTGCCATCTCAGATGGTAGATAAAATGCTCCACTTACCGGAGATTGACTGATGTCTTTTCAGGGCAACCGTGGCAGAACCGGAGTGGTGGTGGCAGCCTACATGCACTACAGCAACATATCTGCCAGGTGGGTCCAGAATCTGGGCTGCGGCTGGTCAGCGTGCATGTCTCTGAAAGGATTAGAAAGCAGAAAAGGAAATCTAGATAAGCTCGCACTGTTAGTCATGAGACTGAAGCCCACATCTGATCATAGATGTGCTGATATTTTTATTTATATAACACAAGTCTTATCTACATTGCTTTACAAATAGGTAAGGGGTATGAAAGTCAAGAACAGCCCCCTCATTTAGAATACGATCCAAAAAAAGTACATGACATCATAACGATGAGCTGAAAGCAGTGAGTTAGTTTTAATAGTCGCTGTATCATAGGACTTGAATTATAAACGGGCTCCTTTTTTTATATTGGATTTGTTTTAGGATAGGAGCAAACAGAATGACATTTTTGTTTCAGGAACAATTCACAGAGCGCATGACTCCATGTTGTTTTTAGTACAGCGCTGATCGGTTTGAGAAAAAACTCACAGACAAACACACACACACAGACACACACACACACACAATCTGACCTCCCCTCAAAACAGAAGTTCTCACTTATCTCATACTTCTACAAACCAGTACGTTCTGGAAACGCCATTGGCCGGCAAAAGGCTTAATGATGGAAATCAAGTTGTAAGAGCTGTCCTTCGTCCTTCTGTTATTCCTCTACATGGATGCATTCCTCTGGGTAGGACTCTGGGTAGTGCTTAACTAGTTACACCCGTGGAGGTGTGCATAAAACATGCTTGATGCACTTTCAGGAACTCACTACTTTCAGAAATGAATCAGTATTGTTCTTACTCTCTTCTGTTCGGTCTTTATTTTCATGTTGCGGCCCAATGAGCTGGGTCGTAACACCGTGCACGGTACTCGAAGAGGTATGTGAAAAACAAAGTATATAGGGATGTGAAAAAGAATTTAGTGAAAGTCCCATTAAATTCCTTGTGGACGTATAAAAAGAAAAGGAAAAAAAAAAAACGAAACATCTGTTCCTTGCTAGCTCTAAAAAGCTAAATACAATATCAAGAGTAAAACACAACATATTACAGTCTGCTTATTGGCATCGATGACCCCAGAAAGGATAAACAGTCTGTGCATAAGTCAATCTGAATGAATTAATTTGAATTTATTTATATTTATTTGTACAACATCAATTCAGAACAAAGGTTATGCTAATCGATTGTGCTCCAGTTAAACCATAGTGAAAAAACCCCCAAATTGGTCCAGTTTACAAAAGGGATTCTTTAATATTTTGATTCGTTCTACAGCTAAGAAAAGATCTTTTAAAAATATGCATTAAGTATTAGGGACAGTTGCAAACTTTTGTGAGAGAGGAACACCCATGCCCCATATTTCACTCCAAAGTCCGACTGTTTAATGCTGAGAGAAACAGCAACATCTCCAAATCCACAGGCTTCAGTTAGCCACTTTGTTTTTCACATGACCGTTTATAAACCCTATGATTACTTGTAAAAAAAAATGTGTTATTGATATTGTGGTCGATCATGCTCTCACCATATTCCTCTGTTGGAATGCAGTGCTGACCAGGCTCTGGACAGGTTTGCCATGAAGCGATTCTATGAAGACAAAGTGCTTCCTGTGGGCCAGCCGTCCCAGAAAAGGTCAGTCTTCCCTCAGATATTATTTATAGTTTCAAAGCATGACCTCTTTACAACTATTTAGGAGCATTAGAACAAACAAAAAATAAAAAAAATTGAGCAAATTAGAGATATCTGTTCGAATTGAATGGGTAGTCAGCAGAAAATTTGTGAACATTGAGACACATTTAGACGCATGTCTCAATTCACTAATGCTAATTTAAGTCCAATCTTTAATCTCCTTTTGACTCACTGATATTTCTTATGTTAGGCAGTAAATTCTCCTGTGTTTTTGCCAAATGTACTAAACACTGATTTTTAAAAAAAAAAGTACACCATCAAGCTGGTACACACAATCATTTGAATTTATTGTATTAAAGGCTTTCCTTTTAAAAGTGAAGGCTTTTTTAAAAATGACACATAAGAATGTTCCACTTCTACAATTTTGTCAAACGAAAAACACCCATCGATGCAGACGTTGTTAACAGTAACACCTTAAACATCATTGTACTGATAAATGCTTGAGTTTAAGTTAATCCCTCGAGATCTTTGGTAAAACAGGGAATATCATGATCCAGTTTGGACTCAGAAACAGCACAACCATTCCCTAATCCCCTCTGCTTTCTCAGGTATGTGGAGTACTTCAGCGGCCTACTGTCTGGACACATCAAGATCAACAACAAACCTCTGTTCCTTCATCACGTCATCATGCACGGCATCCCCAACTTTGAGTCCAAGGGAGGTTAGTGTCGTGCACAGCTATCCGTTTGCAAATAATCACTCTCATTACGTAATCTATTTGTTTTTAACAACCTTCTAAACTTATATTTCAGGTTGTCGCCCCTTTCTCAAAATCTACCAGGCCATGCAGCCCGTCTACACATCTGGGATCTAGTAAGTCCTAAAACACACTCACGCTCAAATGCTTTTACAAGATTCCAGGGATAGCAAGCTCGTAATGGCTGGATAATAAAAACCCTGATTTTCCTTTATAGCCTCTTCAGTAACTCCCTCAGCTCCCCAATATACGTACACATTACATACGCGTTACCCCTCTCGCCGCTTTACAGTCCAAGCTTGGCTCACGTTATTGTGTTTAGCTTGCCTCCCCAGCTGCGGGTTCTTGTTTCTCTACTTTAGATCCCATAATCGCGTCTAGTGTTATTTGTGAGCGGAGGGCCAATGGAGCAGGCACACAGGCATTTGTGTGTCCGCCCGCAGGGTTTCCCCCGTCAGGAGAACCTTACTGAGCCCCGGGGCCAGACGGGAAGCAACGTCTTCTTAGCATTGTTTTGGGCTCAAGGGGAGGTTAGAGATGAGAATAGAAGATATGTTCTTCATGCTAGTTTCTTACTTCTCCATTTTGCAGATCTGAAGTGCCCATTTTCTTTTATGGATCACTGAGTACAGAGAAAGTAACCGTCATGTGTTTTGCACCCCACCTTTCTGAGGAACACGAGACTACTTTATTATCTGCAAGCTTGCTGATTTTCTTTCAGGTTTTTTATTCGGAAACATTAATGTTTTGTTTATGAAGCCAGAAAACCAAAAGAGTGAACTGAAATAAGTTTAAATGCTACACAGAGTGGGCAGGAAAAACATATCTTTGTTATATATATGCACATTTTAAAAGATACAACAAAGGCTGGCTGTTTATGGTCGGGTCATTTTGAATGTTTCCTGTCTTTTTCCTTTCCTGCAAACTATTTCTGAAGTCAGTGTAGCTTTTTGTGGAAAGTTGAAACCAGAAATCACAAAACATATGGGGGGGGGAACCCAAGTTTTAGATTGTTGCTCTTGGATTTCATTAGTCCGCATACACCCTTCCTTTCAACCCTTACTTTTCACCCTGTGTGTGCTACTATGATGCACCCCTGCAGCATGATACTGCTGCCACCGTGCTTCGATGGAAGCCCATTAATTAATTAATTTATCTCCTATTTCTTCATTTTAAACTTGCATTCTGGCTGCATTCTTACATTTTTAAAACCAAATTAACACATCTTTGTACATCCCTCTGTGAAGGTGTTAGGTTGGTGGTATTTATATGAAATTTCATATTTGAATGAGTGTTTGTGTGTGTGCGTTTGTGTGAGAGATGTTGATTTTAAATGACAGCCGTGTTTTTATTTCTCTCACACCCACACGCTCTTATTGGCCATTACTGGCACACCCTTTGCCCAAAGTGTGCAACTAAAAGAATGTCCCAGATCGGGAAGATTACTCAAGGGAAAAATTCAACAACACACCCCCATGTCATGTCTTAAACCGGATTGAGGGGGAAGTTCATCTGTTTGCCGTGGCTGAAAATAAAGCTTGCTGGTGTATGATATTACACGACTCGTTGATGGGAACAAATCACTGCGCGTATACTTCCAGATCATCAACCTCCTAAACCCCCAGTTCACATTCTGGACCGCTCTCTCACATGCTACCGATTAGCACTATTCAGTCTTTGATCCTACTCTCCGAGCCAGACAGTCATGTTGGACACTAATACCTAAACTCAGCCCACACTGTTCTGTAGGTATTCTCTGCAATACGTGCGCACTAAGACTTAGACTTAGACAACTTTACTGTCATTTTGTATGTACAGAGTTCCTACAGAACGACATTTTGGTGCATACAGCTTACAACAGCGTCCATAAACGGAATTCAACAATTTAATATTCTGATGGAAAAAGCTGTTGCAGAGCCCGGTGGACCTGCAGTATATTCAATTCAATTCAAATTTATCTCTCTAGCGCCAAATCACAACAACAGTTATCTCACAGGTCTTTCCACACAGAGCAGGTCAGACCCTACTCTGAAGTTAATTACAGAGGCCCAACAATTCCCACCATGAGCAAGCACTAGGCGACACAGGGAAGAAAAAACTTTCTTTTAACAGGCAGAAACCTCGAAACACATAGACTGGATGAAAAATGGCAATGATATTGATACTAATGATAATGATAGCAGTAATGATAGCAATAAGACGATGAACAGTGGCTGTAATTGTAGCAGAGTAGGAACACGGGGACAGCAGCAAACTCCCAATCCATACTAGCAAGGTAAAAAAAGGGGATGGGAAAATTTTTGTTTTAAAGGATGCTGGGTGTCCTTAGAACAGTAACCGTGAAGACAAGTCTGTTGTCTAATATCCTGTTTTTTTGTGTTTTTTTTTGCAGTAATGTTCAAGGCGACAGCCAGACAAGCATTTGCATCACCATCGAGCCCGGTCTTCTCCTGAAAGGAGACATCCTGGTACGAACTGCACAGACACGCCACAGTTGCCCTTGGTGCCGGAAATCTGCAAGCTGTGCTTTTTTTAAATTTTGATTTCTCGTCACATTTCACTGAATGAATTACCAAGTGTGAATCCGACGGAACACCGCTTTCTTTGTCTTGTTTGCCATATTAGCTTACTAGCGGAAAGAAAGCCGAAGAAGCAAGATGCTAAATTCGGAGACGGCAGCTGCAGAGACACACAGAGGATGCCCTGATTCTTATTTTTTTTGTTTTGTTTAATGCTTATGAGGGAATCCTGTTGGTTTTCGCAGCCAGGCTTTAGATGCATGTTGCTTTATGCGTACACCGTAGCAGTTTGTGGTTGCTACTCACAGAAGAAACAGGGCAGTAAAACCTGAGGAAAGTCAGTTGGACGAGATCCTATGCCTCTGTTTGCTAATGATGGTCTATAAACTATGTTTCTGGAAACTATGATGTAAAAATGGCAACAGCAGTTGAGGACACACAACATACTAAAACTTGATTTGATCATTTAAAAGTAAATAGGGTGTCAGATCCTTTCTGAGGGACGATTTATGCAAAACGGTTCTATTTTTGTTCCATTTGCACTTTTAAAATAAGTCGTAAAAAGATCGCCAATCGAGCACCAACTGTGAGAACCTCCAGTTTGTGTTGTGATGTCGACGGACTGCGCGCATCAGCGGAGTTTCTGCCTCTGCTGTTATTTGGACCATAAATGTTATCCCTGAGATGTTCCCACAGCTCATAATTTCAGCTTGGGGAATTTCAGGGGGAGCACTTATGTGAGCTTTCGGCCTTTTCTGTTTTTGGCCCTGGGATCCAGGCCCATATCTCATTCTTTATTTATGACAGGCTAATGGATTCGATGGAATGCATCATCTGATGTAGCAGTTGCTCGCGGATGCCTCTTGTTATTCAGATTCAGGAACAGGGACACGCTGGCGCGGTGGCCAAGCGGAAGACAGATTGTGCTGTAACTTCCATTTCAAATTGATGAATTGTGGATTACATGACTTATTTTGTACGATATGGTCGGTTACATGCAGAACTAAGTTGAATTCAAAGGAAAACATTCTTATGGACCAGAACCTTTCAGATCCCAGCTGTTTTTTTCCCCTGTTTGGCCTGTTAGTTGTTGGACAGTAAAGCGAATAAGGAGGTTTAGAAGACTAATTCCTGACTTTACATTAACATTTCACTTCCATAATTAAGTACCTAAAAAACAACAACTTTATATATAAAAATGTTATATCCACAAACCTCAGATCTCCCTATATCTTCTGTGGGACAGCAGAACATCTATGGGACCTTTGACTGATCTGATAAAGGTTTTTTTTATATTTTTAGAGCGTTTTTGAGAATGCTGTTTGAAGTTTAAAGAAGACTTCCATTAGTGCATCTCCCTTGCATTGGAACTACTCACTGACTTGGTCAGTTTGGGTAGATGGCTAAGTCAGGGAAAATGTTCCTGTTTCAAATTCCCATTACAGAGGACACTTTCCTACTGCCCCGCGACCCTATTAGGGAATAAGAGGTTACAGTAATGGATGGAAGGACTTTCCTACTGGAAACACAAACAGTTTTTATACCCAAACTTTGATCCGTGCTTCGTCATAATCTTCTTGCACAGTCTGATGTGTTAACCTCTCCTGACGCGGCTTCGTTTCATTCTCCCGACAGCTCAAGTGCTATCACAAACGGTACCGCAGCCCGTGCAGAGATGTGATGTTCAGGGTGCAGTTCCACACCTGCGCAGTTCACGACCTGGGGATCGTTTTCGGGAAAGACGAGCTTGACGAGACATTCAAAGGTAAAAAAAATGTAGAGCAGCATCCTTTGCATTTGCATGTACACTAATTGGGATGCTACCTAAAACCTAAACTGAATCACTGCTGGGTTCAGGGGGTGTTTAGTAAAAAGTAAATACTCATTGTTGTGGTATCGACTTTGCTGAAATGTACGTTTCCCTTACGCAGATGACAGGTTTCCAGAATATGGGAAAGTGGAGTTCATTTTCTCCTTTGGACCAGAGAAAATACATGGTAAGTGTCAACATTTTGAGTTGTACGACTATTCTGAGCGTTCCTTTCAAAATGAACCTCCATGTCTCCTTTAGGGTTCTTTTGGTTTTAAGCTAATGAAACAATGCATCCCCCATTCTGCCTCTTCACTGAAAGATCAGGTGTTACCTTAACATTGAAAAGGCAGTTTGGAGTTAGAGACATTCACATTTTCTGCTCTGTTTCTCCGTACTTCTGGTCAAGATATGGACCACCTGGAGAACGGGCCGAGCGTCTCGGTGGACTACAACACCCAAGATCCCCTGATCCGCTGGGACTCTTACGAAAACTTCAACAAAATCTGCGAAGATACCGCGGACGGTGAGAACAATGGATGATATTTGGAGGCATGCAGACCATGCATCTGCCTTTTATAGGATTGTGGCGTGAACATCTGTCAGAAACTGTCAGTTGATGCTGTATTTCAAGACATAATCTTTTGAACCTTGGGCACATTAGGACACATTAAATGAAGGCTTTTAGCCTCTACCGGGCGGGTTGAGTGTGGAAACGCATTTTATTGTGTCTAAGGGGGGGGTTGAACCTTGTTTTAGTCTCTGTCTCCCTCTTCCAGCCTCACGCAAACAGCATGTACGAGCAGACACCTCTAAAACAAGGCTGCTCTTGTCTTTATGCGTGATACCGATTCCGATCCTGTCCTAACGCAGTTTAAAGACTCTTCTTTTTTCCACACGCACAATGTAAACTCTTTAAAACTCCCACGTGACGGGGTCAAATTGAGTTCTCATTTAACTTCATTTAGCAGTTAGAAGGTTTAATGAGGGTTGCATATAGATTGGAAAGCTGACACAACAAGGTACCAGGTTGTTCATTTTGTTGATAATTCAATTTTTCGTAAATCTTTATTCATAGCCTCCAAATGAACCTAAATATGCGTATCTAGATGCGGAGGATACGAGGCAGAGCTAGAGCTGGATTCACTCGTGGTGAAGTTATCACAGCCGAGAAGCCAAAAGCCCCACGAGACCTCGCTCTGTTGCTTTCCAGAGCGCAGTGCGAGACATTCCTAAGTTCAACCACAGGCATATTTGGAGGCTTCTTTTTGAGGGAGCGTCGGTCACCCTGCGACCAAAATGCCGCTTTCTACAGCACCCAAAAAGGAAGCAGTGCTCCGCCCTCCCCCTATGCCATTTACCCAAGAATGCTCCGCTCTTGTTAGGGGATCAGCTTATTAATTTCTCCTGTCATTGGTTTCATTTTCCTTTTATCGGGCAGAGAAACGGCTACCGCCTTTTGTTTGTATTTATGCTTGGCATAATGATGGAAAGGCGAATTGCATTTTTCAAGTGTGATTTAAAGGACAATTTCAGCTTTTCCAAACATGAACGTTTGCTGACTTTTTAATGTCCCCGACTTCCCCGTGGATGTTTTTATTAGGCTCCCAGATAGTCAAAGGTCAGAGGTTGCTTGGCTTCCCTCTATCTCTGCTCGTAAAGTGTCTACCCCACACTCAGAGGCAGCTTGAAATAGGCCCTGCTAAAATAGAACAGGTGTAAGTCTTCTCTCATTCTGTTTCATTGAAGGTGAACGTGTGTGTGTGTGTGTGTGTGTGAGTTTGTGAGAGTGTGTTCCTAAATGATCTAAGTTGAGCCCAGGTTGCCTCGGCTTATCTTGCTGTCTGCTGGTGATAATGATATTGTGCTTATATCTGAGTTAGACTCTGATGAGATCTCTCTCTCACACACAAGGGTAAACACCAAGAAACAATCACAGTCTTTTTTTAGCTTCTTAAGGTTTGAAGTAGTTGATAAGCTTTCAGAATTGTTGCCCAATAGCCTTTTGTGCTGCAACTCTGACCAAATCTGCCAGAACTGCTAGACTGACAGCCACTGCCTATGTCTTACTCTGAGCGTGTAAATTTCTTTAAAATATAATTCCGACCCTGGGTGTCAGTTGATCATCGGAAATTGTACATTTTGAGATTTTCCCCCGGTTTAAAAAGCTGAAAAAAAATTTGGGAATATCTCCACCAGGCAACAGAGGCCAGATTTTCCAACATGAGCTATCAAGAAGTTTAATCTTTTCCTTGGTTTTTGACGACTAACGTAAAATAGATATCTTATTAAAAATGTTTAGCTAATTTTATACATTTCTGCTTGTTCAAACTAGGAGGAATGTCTCCCATTTCAAAATGACTTGAAGTTACATGAAAACCAGGAAATACGTTCAACTTTTCTTAACAAAAGTCTATACGCTGCCTATTCAAGAGAATAGTAGAGAAAAAACACAAACAGTTGGAAATTAGGCTGTTACCAGCCAGGCATGGATGATTTATACATTTATACAGAGTAAAGAAGAGAGATGACTGCACCACTCCTATTGTGAACATGGGCACCATTCACAATCAGTGGTTCCTAGACAGAACAAGCCTCTGGAGAAGTTCACCTCATTGCTTAAGCTAGCTTTTTATTGAATCAGTTTACATTGTATTAGATGGATAATCACATGGATAACTCCAAGAATGAAGTAGTGGCAACTGGTTCTACTAACTGGTTCTCTCTAGGCAGTGTTCTGCCTCTTCAAAGCAACTTTCAATAATAAAGGGGCAAAATGTTGGTTAATCTTATTAACTATGTCTTTTAAGACCTAAAACAGATATTGTTGACATGTTGTCAAGCTTTAAAACTAAATCTTCCTCATAGAAATTGACCAAAAACAAGTTTTTTTTTTTATTTCCTCTACTGGAATTTAGCATCATATTTGGATATAAAAGGAGAGAGATTGGTTTTAGAGCTCAGAAGGAAGAAAATTCATTTTGGAAGTGTCAGTGTTATGTTTGCAGTTTGTCAGAATAATTTACTTTTTGGAGGAAAGTGCAAGGCATCTTACATTGGTTCTTTGCTTTATCAAGGAACTGCAAACAGCTTAATTATAGGGTAAATGTTTTGCTGGGATCAACACTGGATAAGTGGCATCTATGTGGTTGTTAGCTCCCAAGATTGTTGTTGACTTTTACTGTGTTTTATTCCGATAAAGAACACAACTCCAGCTGCCGTCAGTCTGCTTAAGAGCGAGCCTTTTTTGGAATGCCTACACCTTCTCCGCTCCAGAATATCACAACTTTGATGGTGCCTGCGTGGGCTGAAGCTTTTTTGGAGAAAAGACAGCTAACACCTTTGACACTTTGTTCAAATGTTGAACTTTGTTTGTTCTCTGCTTTTTCAGACAGAAAACACAAGGTTTTCTTCCACAGAAAACCTCATTCCACATATTTCTGAGGCCATTATGTAAACACACAAATTGGTTGTGTGTCTAATAAGGCCATGATGCAAAACTGTCAATCCACATGGGTGGATTTAAAAAAAAGAGTGGATAGCTTATTTTCTGTTGCCGTTATATTTGTGACTGTATTAAGAGGTGACTAACTTCAGTTTTGTCAGAGTGGTAACTCTAGGCAGGACGCAGAGATCTTGACAAAAGGTATAAATGGAACCAAAAGCGCGCTCGCTGGGAGTGGAAATTACCAAAATAATAGTCTCTCTAGAAAACGATGCAGACAAAGCCGTGAACACAGTAAAAAATAAATTCACTCTAAATAGAGCATGGCAAAAGTTACAAAGTATAAAATCAAAATCACTCTTACGAGGCATAAACAAGACTGTGGACAAAGTACCAAAATAAACTCCAAAAGGAGGCATAAACGGGGTTCAAGGCGGAATACAAGGAAAGACTCAGACTATTTAAACACAAGGGAAGGGAACCCCAGGGGAACACAGTTGGTGATCAGGGGAAACAATCAGACATGTGACACACAGGGGAGTGCAATGGACCTGAAACAAGGGGATGTACCTTACAAAATAAAACAGGAAATGACCTGACAACCATGGAGACAGAACACAAAACCCCAATTATTTTTAGTTTGACTAAGTTTTACTTCTGTTGCCTGAGTATCTGATGTGCAGGGAAATTTGGACACTTCTGCTGAGATGTGGAAGGGGTGATCATATATTTGTAAGTGGATTCTAATAGTCACATGTGGTGGGACAAACCCTTGTTTTTTTTTTTAGAAAGGAGAGAGATAAGTATTAAAAAAATACAAACAGCGAGAGAGATTTAAAGACCTTTAAAGAGAAGAAAACAAGAAAATTCACTGGACAAAAACCTGAGATTTAAATGTTTTTCTTTTAATCTTTTTAAACTCAACCTTTAGATCAAATAGACAGACCTATTTATGTGTCTATTTTTCTTAGTTTTTTAGTGTCTTTCTCTTCCACCTCACCGTGCTCTCCGAGGAGTTGCGGGAGTTAAAGGCAGACATACACACACACACACACACACACACACACACCTTTCTCCTTCACTGTGTCGCTCTTTTGTGTGCATGTTCACTAGAAGAGTTACAGAGAGTGTGAGTGTGGGACCGTTGGCTGCAGCTGGGCACAGACGGAGGCTCTCGGGGCTCTACATGCTGAACTGTTGTCCGGGGTTTCCTCGGTTTCCCTTTGGCGCGCTGCAGTGCGTGCCGGCGTTCCAGCTCTGAGTGCCGCTGGACAGCTCGGCCGTAAATGCGAGCCCACTTTGTTCTTCTTTTTTTTGAGGCGGGAGAGAAAATCTGTCAGGGAACTCACCAGCTGACATCTGTCAGAACGTGTGAGTATCATGCTGGAACTGCATCCGCTATTGGTAGTTATGCAGAATCTTTATTTTCTCTGCATTGGGAAAAGTACTTATTCATTTCTTGTTTGCCTGAAGTTCTGAAGTTGGCTATGATGTGTTATATTTGTTAGCATATTTCACCTCTTCAACTGAACTTTATTGGGAAAGTGTTCGAGGTTTAATTTTTCATAATTTATTCCTAGTTGTCTGCTTTTTGTTGGCTTTTGGGATAGTTACATATATTTATAGTTATATTTTTTATATAACCTGTCACCATATGTGAAATCGGTCTTTAACAACCCCACCTCTCACCTGTTGTCTGCTGGGTTAGGCCCCAGCCTCATCGTGACCTCGTTGGGATAAGCGTTATAGATAATGGATGGATGGATGGATGGATGGATGGATGGATGGATGGATGGATGGATGGATGGATGGGTGGATGGATGGATGGATGGGTTTTCTTTCACAAATCCCCTCAATTTGTCATCTTCGGAAAAAGTGGCACAGTCTAAAAGGAGTGCAGAGGTCAGACAGCCGGATAAGACCAAACAAGTTTGACACACAGATTTGGAAGAAAACAGTTCATAAAACCATCAGACTTTACAAATGTGAATGGCATTTTATATCTGAACTATTTCATTATGACAAAGAAGTGTTTGTAATCCATGTGTATATGTGTATAGTGTGTGTTTTCAGCTCAGATGACAGAACATTGCACCAG